CCACAAACACCAGTGCACCCTCACACATGTCAACACACAAATGCACATGCACACCCATTATATACACATGAGAAGCACAAAAAGGGAAAAAGATAGCCAACAAGACTTTATACACACAATTCTGCCTAGAGTTGAAAAACTGAACTCAGACCTGATCTAGACGGATCTCTATTTAAAGAAAATATCGAGAACAGATAATGATAACACAGGCGATAATTAGCTAAACCAAGAACGTGGGATGTTTTTGGTCAAATGGCCTCTTTTATCTCACAGATCAATAGCATCAGAAGAAAAATGCTAAACATGAACGGAACACAAGAACCAAGGAGGTGTGTGGACCTTGTCTCTATCCCATCTCAAAGGAACAAAGAAGACATCTTTGGAGTGGGGTGTGGTAACTTACACCAGCATTCAGGAAGCTGAGGCTGGAGAAGTGCCTTGAGTTCTAGGCTAGCTTGGGCTACATGGCCAACCTGGACTACAGGGTAAGGACAGGCCTTCCAGCTGGGTGCAGTAGTTCACACTTTTACCCACCTAGCATTTGGGAGGCAAAGGCAGCTGTATCTCTAAGATGAGGCCAGCTTGGTCTACATCCCAAGTTCTAGCCCAGCCAGAGATACATAGCGGGATCCTGTCCTGAAAAAAAAAAATTAAAAAATGAAGAAAGACATCCGTGAGACAATCAGAAATTTTGATTATATGAATATTAGATATTATTGAAAGATTCCATAGGGGCAGTCTTCAGTTCTGCTAGAGGAGACAATGGCAGGATAGTTATATTTTCTATATCTCTAAGTGTGAAGCAGAGATGAAAATTTGGATTGGTAAGTTAAATATTGCTAAATGAAATTTTGGATTGGTAAAATAAAACAATATCTAGGATTTTGGAGGAAGAAGACAAGAAAGGGTAACAGAGTGTTAGTTTTCTGTCGCTATGACAAAAGACCTGAGCAAGGCTACTTGCAGAATGAAGAGTCTGTTTGGGTTTGTGATATCAGAGAGATAAGAGCCCATTGTGGCCAGGAGGCATGGCAGCAGGCAGGTATGGCAGCCAGAGACAGAAGTTGAGAACCCACACCTTAAACCACAAGGGCAAAGCAGGGAGAGTGAAATGGACGTGATCTAAGGCTTTAAACTCTCTTTTTATTTTCAACTTTTATTGATTTTGATGGATTTCACCTCATGCATTCCGATTCCACTTATGTCCTCCCCATCTCCTCAAATCCACATCCGCCCTCTGCCCTCGCAACCTCCTCTCAAATTAAAGCCAAATTTAAAAGAAAGAACAAAACAAAGAAATAAAACAAAACAAAAACAGTGACAGAGGAATCTTCCGTAGAAGCTGTAGTGTGGCCCACTGAGTCACACAGTTTAGCCTTTAGTCCCTTCATCTTTACTTGCTAGTCTGGCTGGCGGCCTCTGGCTTCTGCTACACCATCAATAACGGGCTCTCACTGGGGCTCCTCTTGGATATCCTGTTGTCCTGTGTCCTGGAGATCCTGCGGTTATGAGTCTGTACATCCCCTTCACATGCTCCAACAGTTCATAAATGTGGTGGATGCTGGGGTGAGCTGTTAATATTCTGATCCGCCCCTTGAAATCCCGCCCCTTGGCACCACCTTGCGTTCTGACGTAAAAGCCTCATTTTAAGAAAAACAAAAACCCTCCCCTTCCATTTTTCCCTCTCCATCCCCCTCGATCCTCCTCTTCCTCCTGTCTTTCCCTGTCTTTCTCTTCATCTATTATAATAATTTTTTTTTTAATTTTTTCAGAGCTGAGGACCAAACCCAGGGCCTTGTGCTTGCAAGGCAAGCGCTCTACCACTGAGCTAAATCCCCAACCCCAGTAAAATTTATTTTTTATTTTATTTTATTTTAATTTTTTATTTATTTATTTATTTATTTGGTTTTTCGGTTTCGAGACAGGGTTTCTCTGTGTAGCTTTGCGCCTTTCCTGGAACTCTCTTTGTAGCCCAGGCTGGCCTTGAACTCACAGAGATCCGCCTACCTCTGCCTCCCAAGTGCTGGGATTAAAGGCGTGCGCCACACCACCGCCCGGCCAATAAACTCATTTCCACGGCGGATGCAGCGCCTGGGTTGTGAGTAGCTTTTTCCATCCTGCCGTGCCATCGGCTGCTGCCATGCCTGCCTGACTTATCTCACCTGCTGCCCACTGCTGCATCTGCCCAGCATGCCAGCATGTTTTCCCTTGCGCATGAGATACCCTGGCGCTGCCAGCTAGGCGTTCCCCTCGTGATATATCGTAACATGGGCCAGTTCATAGTCCTGGTTCTGGGCCTGGGTAGTAGTAGTAGCTGGGTTGGTCAGCTTGCCAGCTTTCCCTCAACATCACTTCCCTGGGCGAGCTCTCCAGCACTGCCTTGGCTGGTTCACCCAATGCAACTTGCAGCAAGGAGGGGAACAGTTTTTCTGCTTTCTGGCCCTCTGATTCAGGTCCCCCTCACTCACATCGCCAAGGCCAGTTCTACTGTTTTGCCCAGGCGAGGTGCAGGGTCTTCTCTCCTGATTGCTGTGGGGGGACTAAGAAGGTGTGGTGGGGTCAGTTCTCCTGCTCCCATGCCCTCAGGGCTGGCTCATCTGCACCACCACCCCCACAGCTCTAGTGTGCTGCCCAGGTGGGGTGCAGGGCCCACTCACCTGTGTGCTGAAGCTCACATGGGGCGGGGCTAGTTCTCTCACTCTCGCATCACAGGGCCAGCTAGCTCTCTTGCCTGCCACAGTAGGAAGGGGTGGGAGGGGGGGAGTGTAGTGGGAGTTCTAACCCCCATTGAGGTTTCGGTAACTGTCCCGCCTACAAGGCGGGGCCAAGAGAGGGCCCTGAAGACCCGATCTGGGTCTCTTGGTTCCTGGATCCTGGGCAATGGAGGTAGACCGAACAGAGTTCTCCATAGAACACCGCCAGACTGCGCCACGCCTTTCCTAGACCCTGCGACCTACCTATCCCTTCACTTGTAAGTTACGCCACTAAAAAACCTCCCTTTTAACTACGTGGAGTGGCCTTAATAATTTCACCAATAGGGGAGGGCCTTACCCATGCCACCACATGGCAGACAAGGGGGCCAGGGTCAGTTCTCCTGTTCTAGTGTGCTTTCCAGGTGAGGTGCATGCCTATGGTGAGGGGTGGTGCCCTCTTTCCAGAGTACATGGAGGAGCTTTCCCCTGAGGAATAGGGTCAGCTCACCTGCAGCAGTATCTGGTAAGGGGCAGGGCCAGCCATCCCAGGGCCAGTGAAGGGTAGAGCTGACTCAGCATTTTCCAATGATTCCCCTGTGCTAACACAGGCCATGGACATTTAAACTCTTCAAGCCTGTACCCAGTGATGTAATTCCTCCATCCAAACTTCACTTCATAAACCTTCCCGAACAGCACCACCAACTGGGGACGAAGTGTCCAAGTACCCTAAGGGGAACATTTTGTATTCAAACCACCACCCTTCACTCTCTGGCCTCCCATAGACTTGTGGCCGTATCACAATAACAAATGCATTTAGTCCAACTTCAAAAGTCCCCCTAGTCTTTCGCAGTCTTGGCACAGTTCAAAAGTCCAAAAGCTCTTCTAAGACTCAAGACCATCTGTAAATTGAAACTTCCTATAAAATAAAAACCCAGTTGTGTATCTCTAACATATAATGGCATACACTATTCATTACCATTCCAAAGGGAGGAAAGGGGTATAGTAAGGAAGTACTGGACCAAAGCAAGACTAGAACCCAGCAGGGCAAAACTCCAAATCCTGTACACAGCTCCATGTCTGGTGTAACTCCAGTGTTTTGGAGTATACACATATACAGACACACATATATAAACAGAAGGAACACACACATAAGAACATACGTACACACAAACAAGGAATACATACACACATGAACACACATTTGTGTGTACAAAATAAAGATTAAAAAATATATTGTGGGTTTTATTTTGTTTTATTTGTTTGTTGCCAGAGAAAACAAGATAGTGTTGAAATTGGTTTTTAGTATATGGGCTCTTTATATTTTTTCCACTATTTTTGTGAATGTTGGAAATTTTCAATGTTCCCTTTCACAAGTTGAAAGCTTAGCTGGATGGGGTCCTGCCCAAAGGGCATCCTTCCCTTTACCCTAGTGCAGAGCAACCCTTTCCTTAATGGTACTAGACTCCATAACAATGACAGCTTCTCCTCCAGTACATGCATTGTCTGTAACATTCTGCTTTCTAGCACACATTTTCTCTTCAAACTGTATACCTTGTATTTCTTTCTGTCACACTTGCTCTTTTTCACTGAAGACCCACACAAGCATTGTCAATAATAACAAGACCATAGACTCAACATTATACAGTCTTGAAATTAGCCACAGGCAAGTTCTCAGGGCATAGGCAGAAAGCAGGGAGATTGTTTGCTGAAATATCATTGTGATGACCTTTGGCTCAGTTTCTGATCCTCTCTAAAATTTCTTGAGCTGGCCACCTGCCATCTTGCATTATTAGTACTTGTAGATGTAACCAACCGTCTTATTAAATAAGAAACACAGAAACAATGTAAAAGAG